TTTCCCTCTGGCCAGGCCCTGACTTGCAGAGCAGCAACTGAGACAGACTTTTTTGGGGGGAGGGCGTGGGATTCAAGCCCCGTGAGGCTCGCCTTCCCAGCCGAAAGGCAGCCCCCCTTTTCCCCAAGCCTCGAACTGCAGGTTGCAGGTCAACAACCAAGTTGCGAAACCCATTCAGTGAAGTCTGCATCGAGCATCTTTACAAAATACAACAGACAATATCTGAATGTCCTCCGGTAGTAAGGACTCTTTGATGAAAGTTTCGATTCTGTCTCCCCTCTAAATAAATAAGCAGCTGGTTTGGGGTAGGGGTCCCGGCGTGGAATGTATTCCAGACGGTAGTTTGCAGTCAACGTTTGAAAGCCATGGTCTTGGGCACGGCTGTTCCTGGAGGCGTGGGCCCTGGCTCCTGACAGCCACCTGAGCCACTGTTGGAGCCCAGCCAAGCTCTAAGGGCGGGGAGAGGGATGGGGAGCCCAGAGGTAGGTGCCAGCTGGGCCACCTGAAACCCAGGCCCCCCACAGCCTCTATCTCCAGTCCCTCGGCCCAGAGTGACACCGGGCAACGCACCAACCCCTTCCCGTTCCAGACATGAAGACGGCCACTTGCCCAGTCCTTCATTTGTAGGATCTCCTGGCCCGGCGGACGGGGCACTTCCTGCAGCTCCGTGCCCAACACCCCACGCACAGGGCTGCAGCCCAGATCCCGTGCTGAGGCTCGCAGCAGCGTCCCACCCCCACCTGCCCACAGCCCCCTGGACAGCCTCCCCACAAGCCCAAAGCCGCACGGGCTGCAGGTCTACGGCTCGGCCAAGCAGGAAACGGAGGCCTGCTCCCCGGCCCCAGCACCTACTGACCATCCTGCGCCCAGGGGTGCAGGGCCAGCGGGCCGGGCTGGCTGGGGTTTTTACACAGGAAGGAAGAGTGAGCCGCGGTGGGGGAGGAAGTTGAGGGAGGGCGGAAATGACTGCAGTGTCAGCACCCAAAGGCAGACAGGAGGCTGGCCCCGCCCCTCCCTGCCACCCAGTTCTGAAGTGTTGACCTTTGTGCTCAGACAAAACAGCCACTCTGGACCCTAACACCCACCAGCCAGGAAAAAAACCCACAGAACCTCACAGAGAGGGGCATGACTGAGCTAAACATAGGCCGCCCCGCACCCTCCCCAACGGACAGTCCATTTCTGCTCTGTGGGCAGAGGGAGAGTCTGGGGTACAAAGAAAAGGTATCTGTTCCCCAAACCCTTCCCTTCCTTTCCCTCTGCTCAAGCCCACGGGCCCCACGCCAGCCTGGCAGGGGGAGCCGGCGAGGATGGGCGGCGGGCGGTGTGGCCCACAGGGCAGGGCAGCTCACGTTACTGATCTGGTCCTGGGTCTTCTTGATCCTCTGGAGTTCGGGTGTGTCCGCCACCACGCTGAAGCCCTTGCCCTTGTTCTTCTCGAACTCCTCCTTGTAGCGCACCTGGAGGACCAGACGGGAGAGGGGCCAGGGGTCAAGCCGGGGGACAGAAAAGGCCCCGCCTGTGGCCACCTGAGGTAGCAACCGGCTAAGAGGGAGATCCTAACCAGAGCTCCCCCTGTAGTGACATCCACCGCCGCCCCCCCCCGCAACTCAAAGCAGAAGTCTTCACTAAAAAATATTAAAATAAGGATGGTAATCCATCAGCACATACTCAGTGCATTCTGAGTGCCAAGTGCTTTTTACACCAACTGCCTTGTTTAAATCTTACCATATACTATTATTAGCTCCATTTTTGTTGTTGTTAATCCTCACCCGAGGATATTTTTTCCATTGACTTTGAGAGAGCAAAGGGAGAGAAGGAATGGGAGGGAGGGGAGGAGAGAGAGAGAGAAACATTGATGTGAGAGACACACATCAATTGGTTGCCTACCGCACACGCCCCAACGGGGGCTGGGGATCGAACCTGCAACCCAGGTACATGCCCTTGACCAGGATTCGAACCACGACCCTTCCGTGCATGCTCTAACCCCTGAGAAACACTAGCCAGGGCTATTAACTCCATTTTAAGTAAGGAAACCGAGCCACAGAGACACAGGGTCCATGCCCAAGGTCACACAGCTTAGCAGCAAAAGTCCAGAGCCACCAAAATGCAAAGCCTCCTCTGCCCGACTCCTGACCCTTCCCGCCCACCCATCCTCCCACACAGCTATCGGAAGAAGGCTCTTCCCAGAGCTCCACCGCCTGCCCCAGCCCTCACCCGCGCCCGGATGTGGCCCTGCCCTTCGAGGTCGAGAGCCCAGGGGCATTTCTGAGTGACCAGTTAAGTGAGGGCTGTGCCCAGGGACAAAGTTGGTGCCCAGAGAGGAGGGCAGGGAGACAGCCGCTCGGAAGACTCGATCAATGAGCCTTTGACGGGCTCTGGCGGCTTCCTGGAGCCGGCTTCTGAGGTCAGCGCCACAGGAAAGGATGAAGTTGTTGGGGGACAGACAGCACTTCACAACAGGGCGCCACGCCACCCCACCACTGCCCTCCTCTCTTGGGAATCCCATGGATCCTCCTAGAGAGGGACTCAAGTCAGACAGCAGAAAGGACTTCCCAAACACTCAAGGGAAAGAAATAATGATTCTCTTGTCCTCCCCGGGGGTGTAAAGAGCAGAATGGAGGCTGAAAATGCCCATGAGGCGGAGAACTGCTCCCTGGCTTCCAGGGACTTCCCTGTGCACCTCGGCAGCCAGCTGTCCCCAACCCACCAGCTGCCTGGATTTCCTCCACGGGGGCTGCCCCGTCCTAGAGGGTCAGCCCAGGACATGAGGCCCAGGACCCTGGCCGTTTCCAGGATGACGAGCCCAGGCAGCTCCCGGCATGGAATCATCTGGCCACGGTGCCGAGCTGCACTATGACCCTACCGGCCACACACGTCTGCAGCCACGGCCACACCTGTCAGTTCCTCTGCTCCCTGCTCCCCCCACCCCCCCAGGTCAGGCGTCCTCGTTTGTCCCCGAGCGCCCAGCTCATCCGTCCACAGGCTTCTTCCTAAAAGGTTCTAGAAATTCCTTTGTTTCGCTCCAGACTGAAAACAAAGGCCTGGACAGAAAAATTAACAATGATAAAGCTACCAACCCACCCATGGGCCCAGAACTGCCTGGCCTCAGCCCATCGGGAAGACCTGGGCCAGCGTGGTGCCTCTTAGTTGGGGTGGGGAGCGGAGACCCTGTGAGAGGCGGGCAGCAGGGCAGGTAAGGCACTGAGAGCCAGAAAAATGCAGCTCTGGATACGGAAGCCCCGAATGCAAGGCCTCTGACTCGCTTTCCTCACCTGTAAAGGGTTGTCACAGGGATCACGGGGAGGGGGGCTTCCTATCCCCAAGGCAAAGTGCCAGAGCGAGCTGGTACCAGCACCGGCTCAGTCTCCATCTGCCAAGTGACCTTGGACAAATGATGTGACCTTTGGGCCTCGGTTTACAAATCTGTGAAAGGGGACAATCATACCACCCGTCCCGATCAATGGTGCAGATGATGGACAGTTGCTCTACAGCAGCTAACACATTGTGGAGCAGGCGGCCGGGCTCACCACACTCTGATAAGGGCAGTTGTGAAAGTGCTTTGTCAACGCCGAAGTGCTGAACAAATGCCAGTTCCCCGCCCCTTCCTCTACTTCCTGGCCTGGCGAGGGCCAGGCCCTAATCCAGGGGAATAATTGCCATGGCGACACGGTGGTGACATCAGCGGGTTCCCATGAGTTCCCCTGCTGGGGAGGGTAATTCATTCACTCCTGGCCCAGGGGGTCCCGCGAGGGCAGGGGTGGGATGGAGTCCGCGCTGAGAAAAGGCAGAGGCCCGGGCTCAGAGCTGCGTGTCCCTAAACAAGTCAGCCCCCCTCTCAAGAGACCAGTTAGCTGATCCCTAAAAGCCCTCCGTGCTCTGGAATTTGTGACCATTTTTAAGTACCTGTGGCCTTAACTACGGAGAATGGAGGTAGGGAAGGTTCTCTGAAAGGCTGTTAGGTGTTGGAGTGAGTGACAGGTAAAGAGCGAGGAGCCAGGAGTGCGGGGGGGGGGTAGGGGGGGCCCTGCCTGGAGTCCCTCCTCAGGGCTCCTGTCACCCACTCAGGAGTGCTCCCCGCAGCTGGGACGGCTCACCAGGATGCGATGAGGGTCTCTGGGGAAGGGATCTGCCCGAGCTCACTCAGCCCAGCTGTTGGTCGGAGACTCAGTGCTGTGACTGGACGACTCTCGGCCTGAGAGGCGCCTGGGCCTCGTCCTGGAAACCCCCAAGGCAGGGCCAGGAGGCTCCTCAAGACCAGGCAACCACCACCCCTGCAACTCTGCTTTTTATGAGGATGTGTTCAGTCTTCTCCCAGGGTCTACCTTGCTCATCACTATCCCCACAAACAGTAGGTACCAAGGAGATCTATCGAGTAAATGATGAATGAGTTGAATGGAGACACAAACTTTCCAAACATGCAGCACAGTTTGGAAAATAACTGCCTTACTGACCCAACGTAAGAGGAAAGATCGGGACTTTAAAAAATTCATTGAAGCCCTGACCGGTTTGGCTCAGGGGATAGAGCGTCGGCCTGCGGACTCAAGGGTCCCAGGTTCGATTCCAGTCAAAGGCATGTACCTTGGTTGCGGGCACATCCCCATTAGGGGGTGTGCAGAAGGCAGCTGATCAATGTTTCTCTCCTATCGATGTTTCTAACTCTCTATCCCTCTCCCTTCCTCTCTGTAAAAAAATCAGTAAAATATTTTTTTTAACAATTCATTGAAAAAAATAGCCCTGACTGGTTTGGCTCAGTGGATAGAGCGTCGGCCTGTGGACTGAAGGGTCCTAGGTTCGATTCCAGTCAAGGGCATGTACCTTGGTTGCAGGCACACCCCCAGTGGGGGGTGTGCAAAGAAGCAGCTGATCGATGTTTCTCTCTCATCGATGTTTCTAACTCTCTATCCCTCTCCCTTGCTCTCTGTAAAAAATCAATAAAATACATTAAAAAAAATAAAAGAAAGAAAAAAATACAATACCAACAATTTTACCACTGATTTTGTGCCTACTACCTGCTGGGCACACGCACTATGTAGCCCACTCCCCTCTAACAAAAAAAGAAGTCAGGTTTGAAATTCGACACACACAGAAGGGGGCACCTGATGCGAAAGGCCGGTGCTGGACGCGGGCAGCAGGTCCCTGTCCGTGCCTCAGATGCATCATGCCCAAGTTCCCTTCCCTCTCCTTCCCAGGACAATAGGAATGCAAACAGCTATTGAGTGCTGACTGTATACCAGAACTGTTCCCACTGCCTGCTGTATACTAACATCCTCACAGCAACCTTTGGAGAGAGACTACCTATAGGGAATCCTCATTTTTCAGGTAAGGCACTCAGGCTGGGAGACTTGAAATAACTTGCCCAGGGTCACAGTAGCTAATAGTGGGACATCCAGGATGTCACCTCTGGCCATCGGCTCAGGACACAGATATGCCATCTGAGGTCACTGGATCCAACAGAAGGGAGTAGGGACCCTGCTCCAGGGCAGGCCTGGGGCTCTCCTGTCCCCCTGGGCAAGTCCTGGAGGTATGACATTGAGAGGGAAAAGGAGAGACCTTCTCTTTGCACTTCTGCCTGGGCTCAGGGGCTACAGAGACATCCCTGGCTCAGCCCCACCCCAAAGCTGTTGCCTCCCTTCAGCCTGGGGTGGGGGTTGGGAGAGCTGCCAGTTCCTGCCTCAGCCTAGCCGGGTCTGGACCACCCCGCGGGAAGGCTCCAGGTGCCCCAGACACCCGAAGAACCATTCGGGGAACCCATCTGGAGACGGGAAAACCAAGCTGAAATAGCACAGGCAGCTTCCCGGAGACTGAGAAGGGCTGAGACACACGGGTGCCAGCCCAGGAAGGGGCCCTGGAGAGAGCCCAGCTGATGCCCTGGGCGGGTGGGGCAGGGTAGGCAGAGGAGGCTCCCACTTCCCTTCCCGCCAGCCACAGGCGGCTAGAGCAGGCCCTGCCCCCACAGCGGCCACAGGAACAGACCTGTCACCACCCCCAGCCAGGCCAGCTCAGCCCTTCCAAGCCTCAGAGCAGCAGGCCCAGCCCCCACCTGTAGGCAACTGGGGTTAGCTGTCCCCATTTTACCAGGGGAGGCAAGCAGCCAGCTCCCACCACACAGCTGGGGGAGGGGAGGGGCCTGCGTAGAGGGCAGGTCCTGCCTCCACCCTCTGCTACCCAGCCACAGCCCCAGCCCCTCAGGAGCCCAGCTACAGGAGGTTAGAGCTATGCCCCCAATGCCAAGCCCTGACGCCCAGGGCTCCCGCCCGCCCGTCACAGCAGAAAGAGGGTGAGCTCAGGTCCCTCAGCTCCACCTGATCCCCAGCCCAGCTCTAAGCCTCTCAAATTCTGTCTGTGAGACTAACAGCTTTCACCGCAATCATCAGGGCGGTCAAAACACAGATTCCTGGGCCCCATCCAGCCCCTTGGGTGCATTCTATCAAGGCCCCGGTCCCTTCCGGTGCATCCTGCGGGTTGAGAGCATGGGACTGGGGGGCCACGGCAGGCTGCGGAACTGCTCTGAGCAAAGGGCTTGAAATCTGCATCTGGGCAAGTAGCATGGCCTCTCCAAACCTCAGTGTTCCCATCTGTACAATGGGGACAGCAAGAGGCCCTCTATCAGCTGGTTGTGAGGATTAGAGGAGGTCAAGGCCATTCTCATGACTGCCCCAGCCTACCCGAGTGTCAGGAGGCCTGGAACCCAGATGACTCAGGAGGGCCTCTGGGGAGCAGGGGGTTCCCCTCAGGGATTGGATTCCAGGGACAAAAAAAGACCTGAAGCCAAGCTTTTTGTGAGACCAACAAAGGCTGGGGAATTAGTGCGGTTTGAATTTCTCCTCCTGAGAGTCTGGCCGTGGGTGTCTCCCCTGCCTCCACCTGAGGGTGTGCACATACACCCTCACCTCTGGACCGGCACCTTTCCCCGCTCCCCGCCCACACCTCTTCCTCCCGGTTCCTCAGGGCTCTGACTGCCTCTCTCCTTTTTTTTCTTTTTAATATATTGTTATTGATTTCAGAGAGGAAGGGAGAGGGAGAGAGACAGAAACATGAATGATGAGAGAGGATCCTCAGGACATGGCTACAGAGGCTGGGCTGGTAACCTCAGACCCGCATGAGCCTAGAGAGGTGAGTTCCTCCTTTGAGGGTGGGAGGGGGGGTGAGTGGGGAGGAGCTTCGGGGGCCCCACGTGAAATTCCCCAGAGCAGAAAGAGTCAGACACCGACACCTCTCCAACCCACTTTAGGGAAGGAAGAAGGGGGGCATGCTCTCCCCTCCTTTGATCAAGTCAGGAAATATGAAGTAACTGGGTACAGGGTTGGGGGCAGGGAGACCCAGGAAGTGCCAGGATTTCAGCAGCTGGGCCTTGCTGAGTAACCCCAGGGGGAAGGAGCCCTTGCCAAATGCAGAGGTTACGACAGCCCTCCCTCCCCGCCTGGCCCCCGCACCAGCCCGCCCCTCACCTGACTCTGGAGCTCGCTCTGTTGCTTGAGGCGGAGATTTTCAGGGGTGTCAGCCACCATAGTGAAGGACTGCTTGGGGTAGTGTCTGCAGGACAGAAAAGAAGCGGAGGTCACTCTGGGGAAAGGGCAGGAAGCTCTGGGCTTCTCACAGACCCCTGACGCTCTCCCGTGGGCAGGTCTTGCCCCTGCCCCCGGAGCAGGACCAGTGTCCACCAGCCACAGAGAGGGAGGCAAGGGTCGCTCAGACTCAGCCTGAGCTGAACTGGGAGACACAAATGGCTTGAGTGGCCGGCGGGCCATGGAGAGCTAACCTGAGCCAAAGGGAGGCCATAGGGACACCCTGAGGGTGGCAGATCACCCTTCTTTGGGGATAATCCATGCCTTAGGAGTCTACCGACCAGGGAGGTCAAGGGTATTGGGCCAGAAGGGGGCGGAGATGAGGATGGGGTCAGGACAAAGCTTTCAGCTAAAACCAGAAATGGAGGCCAACCAAGGAGAGAAAGGTCAGGAGGGATATGGAGCCAGAAATGAAGGGGAAAGGGACATGTGTATCCAGGGGGGCTTCCTGGAGGAGGAGGAGGAAAAGGAGAAGGAAGAGGCAGTGAGAGAAAGTGCACACATCCAGAGTGGTATTTCACAGGGCCAACAAGGTCCAACCTAAGGGAGTACAGGTGAGAGATCAGCCTGATGCCAGAAAAGAGGCCACCCCCCCCCACCTTGGGCGACAGATAACACTGCCCCCATGGCCCATGTCTGCCCTGTGCTAAAGGCATGCATGCCTTAGTTCATCAAATTCTCACACGCACCCTACTGTCCCCCTCCGACAGATGACTGAACTGAGAAAGGTTAAAAAATGTGGCCAAGGCACAAGGCACAAGGCTGGTCTCCTGGCACCCAGACAATCTCCCCCGGACCCAGCACCCTGAACCAAACCCTCGGTCTCCAGGCACCTGACAGACCAGAGTCCTGTCCCCCAGAAAGGGCTGGCGTGGAGGGAGCAGGAGCCAGGGAAGCCCTTGCAGCCAATCTGCAGGGGCCTCTCAGACCATCTGGCCCAACCCCTCATTTCCCACATGCACACAGTGCACTGGCACCAAGTACTCAGCACTTAGGTGACATTATAATTAACTTATTTATCCCATCGGTTTATTGTCTTCTCTCCACTGCTTCTCTATGAGGTGAGGGGGTGGTTTTTTATCTCTTTTGGTCATTGACGTACCCAGGCTCCTAGAATAGTACCTGGTATCCAACAAATATTTGTTGAATAAACAAACGTCAGACCAAGCATTGAAGCTGGGCCGGGACCAGCACTCGGGTCTCCTACATCCCACGAGGGCAGCACCCAGTCCCCAGCCCACCAGCCGAAGGGGAGGCGGTCCTGAGTCGCTGTGGTGCGTGTACACGTGCTGGAACGTGAAACCGTTGGCATTGGCATGGGCCCCAACGATTTCAGGGAATGGCGGGTGGCTTCTCTCAGCAGAAGCTGAGATCCGGCCATTTTCAGCCCTGGGTGACCACACCCCACCACAGCTGTGACTCCCGGCAGGTCCCGGGTCAGGAGGATTCCCCCCTTCCAGGCACGTGCCACCCCAGTCGCTGACACACCCTAGAGCTGGACGTGAGCAGCCCTCCGGTCTCTGTGTCCTCACCAAACCCGCCCCACCCCGAACCAGAGCTACTGGTGAGCACGTGACTTCCCTCAGTGAAGAGCAGGGCTTGGAGTCTGGAGGGGGACCAAGGGGATGGGGCACGGTGCTGGACTCTGGCCCTGCCACGGGCTCGCTGGGTGGACTGGCAAGTCCCTGTTCCCTCTGGGCTCGTTTCACCATCTTGGACCTAAGTCAGTCTAGCTGTGTCCCAACCCCTAGCCCCCCCGGCTCCTACCTCCCAGGTCAGCCCAGGCCCGCAGCTGCCCCAGCAGAGGGAGGAAAGAGAGGAGACTGAAGAGTAAACACAGGTGCCTGCAGCTGGCATGGCCTGCGGATGAATGTGGGGCCACGGCTGTGGGGCCAGTCCCCGGGCTTGGCTCAGTTCCACGAAACCAGGGCCACCCCCAGCTGAGGAGCACCCTTC